TTCAAAAGGAATCTAATGATTGACACTGTGATTCCGACTAATATTGACTGCGAAATCAGCTTTTGATAGAGCGATGATGGCCAGGGGCGATCAATAATTATAGCCAATTCTACTGATCATCGATAAAATCAATCGATTCGTTGTTGTGTGTTAAGGTGCAACAGTCCAACCGCCTTTTTCATATTCCGACCAAAGCTCCGATCTTTTAATGGAATATGAATGATAGCTTATGAGAAATAATGACTTATCGCTAGACACACCGCTTCCGTTTCTCTTGAGTTAATTGCATTGGCTGCTTTCATAGTCCGCCGGCCGGCCGGCCAGCGGACTATGAAAGCAGCCATTAGTGCCCTCGCTGTCCCTGCAATACGATTGACTACATATTCACGGATTCATAGCAAAAATTCCATAGAGATGATTAGCAAAACGTTATTCAGTGATACTTTGCGCACAAGATTCAGTACGCAGCGAATTTTTGCTAGTTGTCTCGCAACGTGCCTCGGCTGGTTAGTTGTCTCGCCGTGAGGCATGCCTGCCGTCATCTAATACTTACAATTGGAATATGGTCATGATAGTCGTTATTGTGCTCCTGATCCTTCGAACCTCTGCTGCTCTCTTCAGAAAAAGAAAGTGCAAGAAGGATACGTAGCCATCTCGAACACAGCGGGGACGGACCATGCAATTCACCCCCTAATTTTTAGAGCCGTAGTGATGCTGTATGCGGGTCCATTCGATCCACATCACAACTTATGAGCCCGCAACATGTATTGGGCGGCGTTTTCAACACCCAGATAGGCAATATTTTCCACAGTCATACTGTGGCTTTCCACTTGGATTCCACTTGGATTGGTTCCATTCCTGTAGGAATATGGGCGATAAGCACCACCAGTAGACACTTTGATACCTTTGACCTTGGCATGTATGGGGTCTGTACGAAGTAGCAGAGTGTTTAATAGATCTCACGGTTTATTTAAGCTTTTCTTATCATAAGAAACATATAGAAAAGTAGGCATTTGGGCGTTATCACAGATCAGGCTACTTAACAATCTGCTAAAAACATCAACGAGGCTTTAACCTATATATAAACACTGAAGCTTAAGCAATATCTGCCTATAATTTTATAAAACCTTATTAAAACTGAATCCTTACGGTAATTTTTACTATTTCAGGCTGGTAGCCCAAAGAAGACACACAAGACAAACTCGGACAATAGGAGACAATTTATCAGAACGATAAAGAATATTATTTACAAATTGTCCACAAAAGGCTCAGAAGCACCCATAATCTTTCATCACTGAATACTCGGGCTCGAATTCCTTTGCAAGATCAACTGGGTTTATGATGACGTACTTATTCTTCGAAAGGGTTTGTCCCTACTCTGAACGGATTTTTCGAGTCATCATAGGCCGATGGACGGTTAGCACTAGGAGCTTTTGTAGATGAGATTCGCCTGCCAGTTGAATCTGATGACTTGGTGCTCAAGGTGCTACGATCAGCGAATGGGTTAAGATCATCATCGTCTTCAAAAGGATTGCCATCACCTCTGTTAGAATCGGCTGGTGACACAGCAGTGGATCCCTGCAAAAGGGATAAGCCACCAATAATGAACCTCAGAACGTTGTAAAGCGTATTAAAGAGTTCGACAAAAGATAACAAAAAAGCCAAAGATACCCAAAAATGTCACCGACCTTTGCTGTCCTCCAAACGCACCCTACCCATCTGACTCACCTTTTTCTGAGAATTCTTCTTCGACATATCGAATACTCCACTTCGAATATACTTTGATATAACTTCCAATCCATTGACAGCTCCATTCAACTGGAATGATCGTTGTGAGAAATGAATGAAAATCAAGAATCATTGTTCTGCAACAATCAATCACCACCCTCTCGGAATCTTATTAACAGTACCGTACTTGGCAGAAATGAGCTCATATGCCCAGATCTAGGAAAGAAAACAAAAGCGAGCAGAAGTGAATGATCAGGATCGGAGTACTTTGATTTTTTCGGTAGGTGTTATGACTCTCTAGCAACGCTTACAATACCAACAGAAAAAAACAGCCTTCACAGCAGAATAGTCTGAAGAGGCATTTTTTGCTTGCGCGGATCAAGTGGATCTTTGGTGACCTAATACTTCATTTTGCAATAGGGTTCCGAAAGCATTCAACGTGTAGAATGGCTCAGTACCTTAACAGTAACTTAATTAGCTCTGCTGTATTAAATAAAAAAAAGTTGTAGGTGAAGGCTCGAAATTCGTCTCAGTAAAGTAATTCGAGATAAACTGGTTGTCGAGAGTGCCAAAATTGAGGTAGCCGACTTTCTGTACAGCTGAAACAGTCGGCTAAGAAGTATGTGCAAGATATGCAGTATGTGAGCCATTAGAGGAAGATTAACGCTTTTGTACCCACTCTTCGCGTTCGTGTGCATCAGATTGAGGCTTTCATACAAAGTACACCATTAGTTTTTGTAGTAGTTATTTCACTCACTTCTTTGAAATATGTCAGAAAGACAAACCTCTTTATGGAACATTTGATAGGCAGCCTTGTCGCTTATGCTTTCCCTTGAAGTTTCCCTGAAATACAGGTTATTCGTCGGAGAAAGATAAAATGTTAGACGTATTATGCTCTTGCACAAAGTCAGATGAGACTCAGAGTACTCTTAACGATTGGGCTGCTATTGAACTAGTACGAAGCTCGATAAGCTGCTATGAGTAGTGCGCCTAAAACACCTGCGGGTCCGAAAAAAGAGAATGTTTTCTAAGCAAATATGTGTCGCCATTTGGGAGCTGTCATATGCCCTTTTACCCCTTGGCACATCTGCCTACGAGTACCTGGTGTTGGAAAGTACGAAGGAGGACATCTTCCAGACGAAAAACAAGGAGGACGCACCAAATCCTTTTCCTCCTTCCCTCCATACTCTTCTAACGCTTCCATGTTTGAAGCATGGTTCTATTTGCACAATTTCACAGCTATTTTGAAAACATGGCTTCTAGAGCATTTGAAAAAGAAAATCATAAACAGCGTTCTTTTTGAAATATGGTCCCAAGACAACACCGTTTTCTGTTCTACGCTCTAATACAAACAAGGGCTCTCTCAATCGGAACGTGTTCTGAAAAAATATACGAGCTTTTAAATCGATAGGTACAGCCATTTTCCCAGAAGTGGCCCGATTCATGGATAGGGCAGCTGTCCTTACCTAGCCATCGGTCCCACGCAAGCTGGACACACGTCGGGTCTATCACTGTAGGACTCGAAGCAATGAACATGGTAACTGTGTCGGCAGAGGAAGTGCACTGCAGGAAGTTGAAGAGCGGTGTCACAAGCGCTACACTTGTTCACCTGCAGTACTTGGACACTGAAAGAAGATCAACTTAACAGGACAGTCGAGAAGTGGAACGGACACTCGACGAACGTAAAACATACTTAAACTTGAGAGATTCCATCTGCTTGTCGATTTCTTCTACTCGACGTTCACCATCTGCAATCGCCTTCCGATCTGCTTCTATCTGAAATGGCCATCGAATTCGAGCTGAGCGTTGTAATGGCATTGCGTGCTGACCTGCTTCCTTTGCGCATCAAGCCACCTGATCACGTAATCCTTAACTGCTGCCACTCTCAAAGTACTGCTG